TGCAGTGGTGGTGGGAGGACAGAAATCCACCTATTGCCCTGAGATGAACGTACATCAGATGTCAAGATACAATCAATGCCTAGAAATGTGCACAGGCAGCAGAGGACAACAAATGTATTTCCCTCCAGGGCAGTTAAGGGCCTCACACCACTGCACTGCTGTTAGAGCACCATCGCACTGCGGATGACGATGGAAGCATGCCGTCTGTCCTGAAACAACCCCAGTAAGCAGTGGAGCAACACAATCATATTCCATGAAAACATACGGTGCTCAAGACAGCACCGTGGTGACGTACCTCTGTTGACTTCAGTCAAGATCAGATGACAGTCTGTCACCAGTCAACAAATGATATCAACTGCAGTAGCAACTGCCTGAGTGGCAATGACAGTACAGCACAGCCGGCCATGAGGCACCGAGTCACCTCACGGAAACAGCACTGCTCCGTGATACACAGGTACTGCCTCACCACCACCTCCTTGCATGGCGCGATGGCCTGGACTACAGCAGGGCAGCATACAAGCAGCAATACACTTATCTCATCATTAGTGTCACAAACCCACAACGTGATAACCACAGTCACGCCTGCAAAGACGTATTGATGGCACTGACACGAACTCACCTGAAATGTCACAACTGCCTCTTTCCAAGTGACATAATCATTGCCGCCATGAGCAGCACAAATGGGCTAACACTTGCAGTGGCACACTCAGCTGCTGTGTAGCTGCTCAAAGCCTGAGACCTCTGCAAACACAAATACATCTCTCCACACTACATTTCACTGAAATTATTGACTTCAAAATTTTCTTCGAGACATTGTATTCTGAGGCAGCATTTAAAACACCATTTTCTGGTCTGGGACTGTAGCAGCTCTGCACTCCACTGATGGAGGCATTTCTGCCTTCCCAGTAGGAATACGGGCATCATGGACAAGCTGGAAATCCCTTAAGCTGATTGCTGTTGAACCTTGCTCTGCAGTCAGAGTCCCCGTTGGGAGTGAGAGAAGAGAAAGCAACCTGTAACAACGTAATGCTTCTCAGCAGAGAATGCTGTGATAGCAAGAGTGAGAAAATTATGCATGCAGTACCAAAGCAACACATAGCACCGCAGTGACGCTGCCTATCCTGCAGCTACACAGCCAGCAGTGTGAATGCTCCTACAGCTGCATGCAGTACCTCATTCTGACTGCTCAGTGCCACAGCCTGCAGCATGCAGCCCCGTTTGGAGCTGTACGGTGAATCACCTGCATCGATACACCTGTAACTGACTTGCCAAAATAGCAATGACCCTTCACTGTTCCCCTGTTCTGACACAGCCCTGCCTCATTTCAGTGTAAATCACTGTGATTGTCCAAGTGACAGGTGAAGAGAGGGAAGGAGGAACTTCTGCCTTCTGAGGTTAGCTCCCCCATCCCCACTGGGGATTCCTTTACTGCAAACAGCCTGAGTATTACTGCCATTTACAGTAGCAATCACTCCGTCCCCTCCTCTCCCACAAACCTACTGCTGATATTAGCACTGATCATACTAACAAGCCTGTGGGTTTTATTACTACTGATACTAATAATACTGGACACATTACGTCTGCTCCCGCCAATAACAGGCTGTAGATATGATCCCTGCTAATGCCAATAATACTGGGGGATATTATCTCTGCCATTGTCAGCACTGCAGATATTATTGCCAGTAATGCTGTCAAATACTACAGATATTGTCAGGGGCCAAGATTAATAATGCTGGGATTGTTACAACACCAGCCTCGCTGGAACACAAATCCCAAATGAGAATTTGGGTACAGAGAAGTCCATTTGTGGCCTGCTATGGAGAGAGAGAGCTATCTTTAATAAGAGTAGTTTTGTAAAGGTCCCCAGAGTTTTACACAGTTGAAGATGCAGGGAGTCATATGAAACATCATTTTTATATTGTCTATTCATTTATCTATTTATCCATCTATCTGTCCTCTCTCTCCCTTTTCTTTCTATATACTGCTTAAGACAATAGTACTGGAGCACTGCTATTTTTTTCTTAGTTCCTCTGGCTCACCCCGGTTCTTACCCTTTTAGCTATCAGTTGGGTATTACAGAACTACAGAACAACAATCTAGATCAATAGAGTCCACCCTCAGCAAGTTTGCTGACAATACAAAGCTGGGAGAAATGGCTGACACACCAGAAGGCTGTGCTGCCATTCAGATGCTCAGATCTAACTCGTTCTCAGTGCCACATTCTTTCCAGGCCGGCAGCACATTTGGTATGTTGGTCCCCTGCTTCTCCGTGAGGAACACACCTGGCTGTCATCGGCCATTGCTAAGCCCACCTCTGGCTCCTTCTGTCCAACTTGGGAGTTCTGCTACATCATCTTGACACATAATTATCTCTCCTCTTCTTAATCATCTGTGCTACTGCCTAACGCAGTGCCAGCTGCAGAAAAGGATCTGGGGGAGGGGGTGTGCTCAGGCAGGGGCTCCTCTATCTCTCCAACCCTGCTCTGTGTCCTCAGCCAGCACAGGGGTTGCTAACAAGGTTTTCAGGAACCAGGATTCAAGAGCACTTCGGTCCTTTGCCTGTCTCCGCAGAATTGCATTCCTCACAAAGCATCATCCTAGCAGCAAAGCTGTCCCAATGAAGCAGAAAGAAGAACAGTGCTGCTGTCTCTGCCTTCTTTAGGGAAGAGCCATTCCCAAAATGCTGGGAGAGTAGATGTGCTTTTCTACGTGAGATTAAACCCCACAGTTAAGAAATTGCAACAAAACGGAGCTCAGAAGCTTTGGGAAGTACTGAGAAGGTCTATATATCCAGCATGAGCATGAAAGGAATACCTGCATTGGCCTTCTCATCTTGCTTTCCTAAGCCTCATCTCAGCTAGGGGTGCCCAGAGACCTCAGTGCTGCAGGCAGGTTGCCCAGGGGGAGTGCAGGTTACAGACTGTGCAAAACCTCCCCTTGGACCTTCTGACTTTAGGGCACAGCCCTGCTGTGGTGGTGTCTATCAGTGTTCCTTAAAGCCACTGTGAGCGCAGGGAGTCAGCTCCTGGGCAGGGGTGTTCAGCAGCTGCCAGGGGTCCCTTGTGAGGTTTCTCTGGGGTGGGAGTGTGACATCTCCCAGGATGGCAGAATGAAGGCTCTTCTCTAAGGAGTTTGCAGCTGTGTCGTGTTACTGAGATCCCACACCTCCAGGATAGCCTGGTACCTTTTTGATTTCTAAGGAGATACCTGGGCTCTTGGCCAATAGTAGGGAGTTGCACAATAATTCTTGCCCTTCATAAATCAGATCCAAGATGAATTAAGGACAGACACAGAGTTGTGAATCTTTGTGAAGCATCACAGTCTTAGATGTCTGATTGTTTCTGTGTTTAATTGTACTGCTTCAAAAATCTCAAATTCCAGGGCTGGTGATGATTGCGTGGCTGCATCTAAGTGGGATGACCACTGCAGGTATTTTGAAAGAATACCTGTTAAAGCCAGATTGAAAATGAGATACAGAGGCACCTTGTTGACAGCTTGTGATCACCAAGCTGGATTGAATGAGAACAGGGGTTCACAGAAACCCCAACTACTGCCAAAAGATGTACAACCACTAGAGAAACTTGTCGCTTGGTTTGAAATGTCACTATTTCCTGTGTAAGCAATGATAAGAAATGCCAGAGAGGCTTACAATGTTTTCAATCTCTTACTCCTGACATTTTTTTGACTTTGAGGCATTGACTCAGCCCTCCCATTGCTACATTTTTCTCTTAGCTAGGCCCTACTGCCATCTAGCTGGGAAATGGATCTTCCTCTGGGTCTTGATCCAATTTCCAATGGCATCAGCAAAAGTCTTCCCGTTTGCGTTGATAGGGGATGAACTGGGTCTTTGCTTCCAGCCTCTAGTTTTACTTTGTATTGGGAGAAATGGATCAGCCTTTTTCGTGGGATTATTGTTTATTCAGATCTAGAATTTAGAAATGTGAACCTCACTGGCATCAATGCTGGGGAAATGACTGGAGAAACTTCAAAATGCAGCATCTGTATCAGAAGAACCTCACCATGCATCACAAGGAGCCCTGGTATTGCCATACACCACACAGCCTGGGATTACCACATACACAGCACAGGGAGCCACTGACACTGCCAAGAGAGCCCCATGTAACAGGCAAAACCAACACCCTGAAGGCAGTGTTGAGCTGCACAGACTGGTCAAATGCTACCCTTGGAAAAGTTCACCTCCTAGCCCTCAGTTTGTGAATCAAATCAAATTAGAAAAGCAAGACAAAATTGTACAAACCACTATAAACACACCAAGACATCTCCCATCCATTCTACTGCATCTTCTTTCTGGACCTGAGGCTCCAGATTTTGGTTCATTTCAAGATTCACTTTGCCCTGAGTCCCTCCCAACAAGTAGCAAAGAGAAGGAAACAGCTTAATACTAGTTTCTTAGATCACTAGTGGAAGGCTTGGATAATAACCTTCAGGCCACAGAAGGGCTCCTGTTCTGCTTTCTGCTTGTCACAAGTATGGCAGTTCTAGTGTATAGACACTGTCCATGCAATCCGGGCCCTTGTAGCCACCACAGCTAATGCAGCTCATGGCACACCAAGGGGCGGGAACTTGTTTGCAAGGGGAAGGGAAGATACCCCACGTTGCTGATGCTTCTCTGAGATGGCACTGGGTTTGAAAACAAGTGAGTCGGGAAAACCTTGTTTACCCACAGTTCCAAGTCTGGGCACCTGCTGGCACCAAGGGAGCTCAGTTCCAGCCATTTCCAGCAGTGAATGAACTTGGGATCAGCTCCAGCAATGGAGACGGTTCTCTGCCTGCCGAGCAGATGTCTGGAGACACAGCCTGTCATGAAAAGGCCTCAGAAGAAGAGCACTCCAAGCCAGCAGGGCAGTGGCGGGGAACTGGTCTCTGTTGCTAAAACTGATCTAGCCCCTGGAGCAGCTGCAAACCTTGGCCTGAAATTGGAGCCTGTGCATGGGGACAAAGAATATAAAAGGGAGGATGAGCTTCTCCCCTCCCCCTACCTTCATCACGTTTCCTCTTCTCGCCATTCGACCGAGGAATCCCCAGGATCCCGTTAATGGAGTAAGAGCCCACTGGATCATTGGAGGCACTGGAGACGGGAGGGGATGCTGTGCTGGGCACTGGACAAAAGGAAAAGGGAGAAAGGGCCATGAGGAGAGCAGCCAGCACTCAGGGATCCCCCCACTGAAAGCTACACATACCACTACTCTCACAGGAGAGCATGGGGACTAAGCAGGCTCCCTGTCCCACACACAGAAGGACTCATGCTAATCCTGCTCTGCTAATGCTGCCGAATCCTAGCTGTGCCATCCTGTTCATATACCGTATCTCCATAGACTTACAGTACAGGGCCAATAGGAATGAACCAGTGTGCTCCACCAAGAAGCTAAATGTTGCTGTTTCCCATACGAAACAACTTATGGGAAACAGCAGTTCAGAGCAGGTCTCCCAGGGCATCCAAGATTACTGAGTGCAATGCTGCACAGGCCACACTCCCCAGGGGCTCTCAGACTATCCATATTTTGTCAGATCATTTCCTCTCAACATTTTTCCACCTGGAGTGCACATACCCTGTCTTAGCCACACCAGCCTCTAACGTGTCCACCAAGACTCTCCATGAAAAATCACCTTCTCTTAGCGCAGGTGAGAAGCTCTTCAGAGTTGGGCCAATAAATTCAGTTCCCTACTAGAACAAACCATGGACTCACGATAGGTACTCCAACCAGGATTAATAAAAATCTTGTGTCTTTCTTTTGCAGATCAGTTTACAGATCACTGTAAACTGGCAGACTCCTCCAGCCACTCACGACTCTCCAGGACTACTCTGGAGTTTCCAATACATCAGAAAGGACAAGTCACCCAGATTAGAAATAATAACTTCCCGATAATTAGGGCTTTAGGGTTTAGAGCAAGTAGAGTTGTACATCCAGTAGGCAAGCCCATTATGTCCCAGCATGCCCTAGTCATTAGGAGGATATCCCAGTTCCCTTACAAACCACTAGCCATCATTCAGCTCATAAAGCATTGAGCTGAAGCATTCAATACCTCCAGCAAAGGCTTTCCAGAACAGAGCAGAACCTGCCAGAACTGCCTGATGTAGATGCACACTTCCCAGTGCACCACAGAGCAATGAGAGGCTCCAGCAGCAGCATTCACAGCCACCCTCCCAGCTCCGCCAACTTATTCCCTAGACATTGCATTGCTTCTCCAAGAAGGGGGAATATCTGCCAACTCCATCTGATGTGGTCAGTGCTTCCCAGGCCATTGAGTGAGTCCAGATTGAAAGGGCATCCAGAAATGCTCTTCCATACTGGGTCATTAATTCTTTTGTGCTCTTGAATACAGTTCATGTACAGCACTTTCCAGTAAATCCTTGTTTAGCAGCTGATTCTCAGTAACCAACAGCATCTAAGACAGTGTCTTACGCCACAGGTAAACCACAATATTCCACACTACTACATGTTTTCTCCTGCTCTGAGTTGCTATTAGATAACCAAGTGCTATCAGCAGCAGACATTTGTACCATGCAACCCACATCAGTAACAACACCCCATCACATGTCTAGCACAGCATCTTTAAATGCAACAGACTAGTAGACATTTGGTAGCTTTATTACAGCCTCCATCTTCTGTTCACCTCAATAAGCCCTTTTCCCCTAGCAGAAAATGCTTTTTCTCAGTGAAATACACCCATGGGATAGCTGACTACAAAGCTAGAACATTGAAGGACTCTGTGGTGTGATATCAGAGTGGCATATCCTGTTCATCTGAGAGATGAGAAACAGGGAGAGAGAAGCAAAGCCAAGCAAGAAGGAGAAGAAAGGTGAAGGCTAGTGCTTGGGTAGGATAGTGGCAAGTACTTCTCTCTAGGGAGGTGAAGGAGAGAGTGAGCAAGTGAAAGGGGTGTTGAGGCAGGATAGCTTTGGGCAGACACCTTTGGGTAAACTCTCTGCAATGCAGCTGGGGCAGCAGAGAACAGCAACCTCTGCTTTCTGGTGAGGTTTCTTTCCCCCCATCTGCCTTCCCCTTGCACCTGTTTGTCAGACTTGACTTGTTTGCCCCTGCTGAGCTTCATTCCCATTTCCAGCTGTCCCATCACCAACCCCTCCATGCCAGTCTCCTTACCGATAGTATGTCCTGGCGCAGCCACACCTGTCCCACTCCCGTCTGGTGTTGGGTGGAAAGGTTGCTGAACTTTGGTTCTGATAATCCTGGAAAAAAAGCAAAGCATGTTCAGAACTCAACTCTTCTTGCAGTTCCTCTGTGCCTTTGAACACTGTGATTCCAGTAATCAGAGCCTGAGGCTGAGGGCCTGAGCTGACATCTGGCTGCAGCAGTGCATCTTAGCACTTCTTGTAGACCTGATTCTGGTGCTTTAATGGTCCAGCTCGCACAGAATTGTCCTTGCTGCGCTCTGTCCTGCCCCCCAACCATGTAGTCGCTGCATGATTATGATGCTCAGCAAGCAATCTGGGATCCAGTCTCTCCTATGTGGTAGTGACTGTGTTATTGCTTGTGATCAGATCTGCTAGTGTGCTCATGAGGCAGCCTTTGCAGCTAACAGCCATTGCTAGATTTGCAAATGGTGTAGATTTCATTTTGTCGCATACTTGAGAAATTCCTTTCTGGCACAGCACTGGGAGATTTGAACTGATGGAGGGCTTTCCCAAAGCCCTACTCTTTGTGAATGACAGTGGGAGCAGAAGGCACCTGTACAGAGTGATGAGGGGATATAGGTTACCAGGAAAAAGAATCTGCCGCAAAGGGATACTGCTTTTGTTTATCAGGTCGTGCACAAACACAGTATGGAAACCCAAAAAGATGTCAGTGAATGCCACAAAGTTCACAGTGCAGCTCAGAATGAAAATAAACTGAACTGCAATTGTCAGTGTTCATCTTCTTGTTACATGCAGTCTTTCACCTCTAAGTCACTGATTTAAATCCAGCTGAGGTCAGTGTGAAAGAAAATCACTATCCTCTAATACTTGGCTGGGGGGCCTGCCCGCTGCCAGATGCTGGGTAGCTGTGACTCAGGAACAACCATGTCTTACCAAGGGGCTCAGCAAATAAGCCATGACCTGTGAAGGCCATGGAGACTAAATTCCTTTCTGAGCTTAAAACAAGCCTCTCCAATTAGGATGAAGGCTACAGATGCTCGTTCGGCTTAGTTTCTGGAACTGTCAGCCTTGCATTGTATTAGCTTTAACCTCTCCTCAGAACTCTCTCCACAGAAAGTGAAAGCAAATAATGCATTCTCCCTGCCCACCCGAGGGCTTTTCTTAGAAATTCACACTAAAGAAAGAGTTGGCAAAACTTCAAAGAGAGAATGTGTGTCATGGGCAGAGGTAGGCAAAGACTTTGGGAGGGCATTTTTGAAAAAGCGTGGCTTCACAAAGTGAAGCCTTCATAGGAAGAGAAAGGCATTTCAGAGCACATCATCTCAGGTTACTGGAAAACAGATAGATGGTGAAACCTGGGCAGTTTCTGGAGGAGCAGAGGACAACTGGGTCTTAGCTGCAGATAGGTGATATCAGGGCTCTGGCTGGGGATGGAGAATCCTCCCTCTCCTCACCTCTCATAGTGCAGGGGTTCCTGGTTCACAGCTGTGGGGATACAGACAGAAGGTGTCGGAGGGCCTTAGGCTGAGGGCCTGGATTTTGAGGTCATGCTGGTGTGCACGAGCTGGGAGCTGATCTGAGCAGTCAGTGCTAGGGCAAGTAATGCAACTTTCTTCTTCTTTTCAATTTTTTTTTTCCTTTTCTTTCCTCTCACATTCCCCCTAAAGCCCCCTGAAGTGCCACTCTGGTTGTGTGAGTTTATTGATTTCCCCCAGCCCAGAGAAACAGAAAGAGGGGATGGGGTGCAGGCAAAGGGATGGAAATAGAAAGCTATAAATTATTTGTGACAGGAAAGCAATAGTGCCAGAGTGCTGAGCACAAGTCCCGTGTCACTATTAGATTCCTTTTAGCCTGATGACACTGTAAAAGAGGTTAAGTGTCTGATGGAATCGTACACCTTGGGGGCAGGGGCAGTCCAGAAGCAGAACAAGCCACAGAGAGCGGGTATATCAATTCTCCAGGCCAATAATATTCCCCTCATTGATTGCAACACAAAGTTCAAAAATCTCATTATAGTCAGGCAGACCTGGAACTTTTTAAAAATCAATAGAGTGGTATAACGTATGTATACTTTATATAAATGTATCTATCCATCCATCCATCCATCTGTCCATCCATCCATCTCCAAAAATCTGCCTGAGGGTGTCTAAGTTAACCTACACATTAGACTGTGTTATGTTCTATTGTAGCACAGCACAGTGAATGGATTAGACGCTTTCCCCTGCAGCCTTAGCTGCCATGTTATACCATGTCCTATTAGCACTGAGATGACATCAGACAGTGCCATTCGCACTGCAATATGACATCAGGTTGGCCATTCACACAGGCAGGTGACATCAGCCTCTGCTCCTGCTGCAGGAGCCCCAGGTGAGCTATGCTAAATGGAAACTGCAGCACTTCCAACGCCAACTAGAGCGAAACCAGCCTGTGCGGTGATTTGGGTATAGCAGTCCCGTCCGTAATGCTTGGAAACCCCAGGCAGGGATGAAGAAGAAAGTTTCATTTCCTTCCCTGTTCTGTTCTTGGGCTCTCAGCTCAGAGTGCTGGTTGTACCCACTGCGGCAGTGTACACAGAGATGTGTCCATCTGGAGTTGGAGAGAACTCACCAGCTCATTTCACTAAGTAGCCATCATCTCATAATGTTTTTTGGTCGCTACCAACCAGGACCAGCCACAGCTGGTGGCCTTGAGATGAAATGTCTCACTGGAAATATTTCCTTCTTACAAAGGAAGCTGGCTTTCTGCCAAGAGTGGACAGGAGCAGTGAGCAACTGAGAACATTGTTGGTTTTTCAGCCTCAGGTAGCTTGGTTCAGCTCATTTCTGGCATTAGATGGCAGAACCTAATGAGTTAGTCAATGTCTCCTATGGCTAAAAGAAGAGGCAGGCCACGTGCTCCTCTGCCACATAGGCATGGCCTCACTGGCACTGGAAGGAGAGAAGTCTCAGATCCTAGCTTGGAGCACAGAATCTGGCCATGTTTCACCCAGGGTCGCTTCATTTAAGGGCAGTGATAAACAGCACTGTCCCCAGGAATCGCTGCTGTCGCTGCATCAGGCTCTGAGTGAGTCGTGTATGTGAGACCACCTAATGAAACAGCAGATGAAAGATGAAGAAAGCTGACCTCATCCTGTAGCAACAGATGCAGCATAATAATGCAGTCTTTAAACTTCAGGACTGCTGAAAGGTTCTAATCATCCGCAGAGGCTGAAGTATGCACAGAGCTGACCCAAACTTAGGAGTGCTACACTTGTGTCCTGTGAGAGGGAGCAAACCCTCGGTCACCTCTTGCTGCTTTCTGTGGCTTATTCTCACCTCTAGATGCTGGAGGAAGACGTGCCTTTTGCAGAACACTTCTGCAGCTCTTCCCAAAAGAGGAAGGGACACAGCTCTTGGCACACCACTCAGCAGTGCTGATTTTTTGAAGTAAATGCCAGTGTTTTCAAAGGCCTTTCTTTTCTCCAATAGAAATTGTCACTTTGGACTAATTTCATCTCTGCTCTAATTCCATCACAGTCAGTGACTCCAGTAACGGCCTTTGTGCTTAATTAGGGGCATAAACTGGCACTTATTGTAAATTCCCATTTTTCATTTTCCAGTGGGAGATTTTTGCACAAGTTGTCTACCCTGAGTTTTGGAGAACATACAATTTTAATACATAACCGAATGAAGTTTCAGCAACAGGACATTTATAGATCTTTGATGGCAGTAAAGCAACCAAACTTCATTTCACAATCTGAATTTAATATGTGATATTATCATAAGTAACGGCGTGTAGTATCATTACAGTCCGTAGTATCGTACTGTGAATTATAAATCCATTCCTGGAATTTGCAAGTTACTGCAGTTGCCTTGTAGTAATTCTATCTAGAGTGAATACTTCAGATAGCTCTGGCTGAAACCAACGGCCTGCCTCCAATGCTTTTGAGTTTCTTAAACATTCAGCACTAGATCAGGAATTTCCAGCGTTTGATTTCTATCTGGTTATTTTTGGCACCTTTAGTGCAATCTGTTTTGCTGATTCTAAATGCAGATTAACACAAAAAGCCATCTTCAGTAATCTGACAATTGTAACAGGGGCTAATCAAATTTGGTCGAGGATGTAGAAAAAAATATTAAAGATAAAATTAGCTGAGACATCATCCTTTCTGAGAACTGGAATATTCTCACCTTGTAAAGGAGCAAATGAAAAATCTCCCCTAGACCTTTTTGGGAGTTATTTGCTATAAGAATGACAGAGCATAAGAAAAATCCCTTGCCTCTCTGACATTTCTGTCCAGGCTGTCTTGTAGACTTGCCATACCCTGTGGTTTCTCCACTCTCACTGTTGCTTGGAGAGATTTTAGACAGTACCTCAAAGCCCAGATGAAAGCCCAGTGGGGTTGATGGGAGGGAGATGAGCGCTGGCTGAGCCCTACAGAGGTCCCAGTGTAGCAACTCCTTTAATCCTGGAAGAACCAGGTGAAGTTGCACTAAGGAGGTGTGGTGTGTCCTGCTGCCTCAAGGAAACCTGACAGACTTCAGATAGCACTGGTGTCTTCTCTGTGATCATCTTCCTTTGTCACAGATTATTTTTCAGAGTGGAAGGGTACACTCTGCGGAGCACCAAACTCCTTGTAATTGTTTCGGAGTGTTCATACTTTAAATGCTCCGTATTAGAAGCACATTACAAGACCCCAGGGTGTGCATTACTGGGCAATTAAAGCCGCTCTTGGAAGGCTAACCCTGCTAAGCTTCAGCCTGGCTCTCTGCAGTGAGTCTAAGGGCAGCTGTGGTGGCCAAAGAGCCAACACTGCGGTGCCTCGCCGCTGCATTAGTGCAGCTGTGCCTGCAGGGACACGGTGTGGGGCTGAGGGGCACTGCCATACCCTTTGTGCCTCACATCGCTACCTGCAATGGGCTGGAGACCCCCAGTGATGCTGGCATCAGAGCATGCCTCAGGGAGAGAGATGAGGAGAGGGAGCCTTGGGCTCCTCAGTGCTGACAACATCCCCCCTGTAGGTGGGTGCTGTGCAGGCCCAAAGAGCTCTGAGCGTGGCTTGCGTTCACACAGGAGAGCCTGCATGTTTCAGTGCATGGGCACAGCTGAATTCA